GAAAATAACCAATGCAATAACTTTCGGCCTCAATTCAAGCTCAGTTTTACATTTATTATGTTCTGCCTCGCTTCGCTCATCATTGTTTTAAATTTTAAATATATCGATCTCATCACATTGTAAATCCAGGTTTTAATCAAGATTTATAGTCACATAGATATAAATTTAGAAATGATCATAGAATTAGTCACGATAAAGATATTATCAATTCATCATACCGGCAAGAAATTCGACGAAAAGAAAACAAAAAAAAACAAAAAATAACTCTCAAAGTAACATAAAATTATAGTGCAAAGAGGTCATAAAAAGAGATGAAATAATATATTCTAGTATAAGTTGAGTATACTTTTGATTTGTTAAAATTTTTTTTTTTTTTTTTTTTAAACATTTTACTCTCTAATAGAATCGTATATTTGTTTGTATGTACTGGAAATAAAATTTGGCCCAAAAAAATTATGATCGACATTTTGCGTAATTCTACGAGTCCACCAGGGTAACTACGAAAATTGCAGGTCATGTGATAATTGACAAAATAAATTAATATTCGGTAAAATTAGAATTAATGTCAAAGTTAATGTTAGAGTTAGGGTTAAAGTAGAATTCTTATAGTAAAATTACTCAAGGATATTTTTTTATTAGAGCATAAAGACCAGTTTCTTATGCAAATTTGTGAGATAAAGGAGGTTTTTGACAAAGTGAGCGTTTGTTTTGAATTTTCTGATCAATTACATTACACAAAATTATGATTTATCATTGGTTAATTTGTCATAGATCATCATATGACCCGTAATTTTCGTGGTCACCCTGGTAGATTCTAATTCTACTGAGATTACGCAAAACGTCAATCATAATTTTTTTTAGGGGCAAGATCAATCGACATCTTTTGTATATAGTTGTTTAGAAGAGAAAAACTATTAATTCTGTAATTATCACTATATATTAACTTAAAGTAGAGCCGTATATTAATTTTAAACAAACTCAAAATTTTTCCAGCAACACTTTTTACATTAAAAGTTTATTTTTTTTTTGTATATTGTTTTAAAATTGAAATTGCGAGATGAAAATTGAAATTGCGAGATGTAAATGCTTTTCCTCTAAACTGTGAGAAAATTTATTGAGCCGGTAGATTTACTCATAAGTGTCAGTATGTTTCTTTTTCAAATTTCTTAATTATCGTAACTATCTCATCATGAAAAAACTTATAAATTTTCACGACCCTTCTTTAATTAGTAAAGTTCATTTAGTGCTGCAACTTATTAATATTTATCTCAATGTTTTGAGGTGAGATATCACTAAGTTAATTTTTACGTTATGTATCTGAAGTTACGCTGCCACTAGGATTGCATCAGAGAACAGGAAGCACATCGTGGCCACAGGAATACCTGTGAACGTCCTTCTCCGTATGTTTAATCCGAAAAGCTCAATTTAGCTTCGCACGGAAGCCTGTAGTGAATAGGTTGCATTAACAATTATGATGAACTTATAATTTTATTTTATTTTATTTTTTTAGTTCTGAGCCTGATGAAAGCATTATACATTTATTAGGCCACAATCAAAAACGTCTAATTTTGGTTCATTGTCATAATGACAGGACTAAAGTTACTGTTAGCCAAATTAAGCATTTTGAAATTGAAATTTCTAATTATCTAGTTGATACTTTGAGAATTTATGTAATAGATGATGACACTTTTTCGAAACGCTCTTTAACTGTCGTAAATTCAAATAAAAATATTTTACTCACACGATTTTCCGATATCAACACAATTGTCTCAGTATATTTTGGGCTTAAGAAGCATACTCCTAACGAAGGATATTACCAAATTTTAGAAAGAATCGATAAATTAAACAATAAATTTGATACTCATAGAAAAGAAATATTTTTATTCTTTTTTATTTTCTTTTCTTTAACAACAATCAGATGATATGTATAATTAAATTTTCTTAGAATTTATTTAATCAGAGAATTAATTCTTTATTTGCTGAATTAATAGGTTGAAATTCGATTTTGTGTTTCAATATACAAATTGGGTTGCTGAAATAATCAATAATTTCATATTAAATCTCCAATAAATTTATTATTAAATTTAGTA